GTGTTTTTTTTTTTTTTTTTTTTTCTTCCAGAGACAGGGTCTGGCTCTGTCACTGAGGCTAGAGCAGGGGTCCTCAAACTTTTCAAACAGGGTGCCAGTTCACTGTCTCTCAGACCGTTGGAGAGTGCGGTGCACATTCCACACATGCGCACTGTGGGCCCAGGAAGAGTCGGCTGTTAAGCAGGACAGGCAGCTGTGGTATGAAATATGATTACAAGGACTAATAGTTACAAAATAAGTGAGCTAACTTGTATGTAGTAAACAGTTCACAGATATTTTCTATTTATATAGCAGCTATTTTCTTTTTAGCAGTGCTATGGTTTCAATGTTCCCTCCAAAGCATATGTTGAAATTCAATCCCCAATGTGGCAATATTGAGAAATGAGGCCTTAAGAGGTGATTGGCTCATGAATGGATTAATCCATTCATGAATAATGGACTAATGGATTAGTGGGCTATCATGGGAGGGAAACTGGTGGCTTTATAAGAAGAAAGACCTGAGCTAGCATTTTAATATGCTCAGCACCCTCTCCATATGACACCCTGCACTGCTTTGGGACTCTTCAGAGAGTCCCCAACAGCAAGAACATTCTCATCAGATACACCCCTTTCACCTTGGACTTCTCAGTCTCCAGACCTGTAACAAATGAGTTTTGTTACCAAAAAAAAAAGAAGGAAAAAAAGGGGGAAAAAAACTTTGTTTCTTATAAATTACCCCATTTCAGGTATTCTGTTATAGCAACAGAAAACAGACTACAACAAGCAGATGTTTGGAGCTGAGAGAAGACCTCTGAGTATTGTTGCCCTATCCTAGTGCAACAGCTGTTCTTCATTCAGTCCTCCTTCCTCCTTTGGAATCACTCATAACCCAGGATGGAAAAATACACCTAAGCATTTAAAGCTCTGAAAAATAGCCAGGAAGTTTAGGAAGAACAAAGGGTGTAAGGGCCAAATTAATAAGATATCTTTTCAAGACAATTCTTTTCATTTGTACAGTACAGTGAAGTAACTGGATTATGTAAAATATTTTTAAAATATGGTAACAATGTATATTATAGCTGTCTCTATACAGTGTAAGCTCTACCTGGAGAGATAATATGTAATGAATGAGAGTAGTGCTGGAAGCAGGCTACCAGATAAAATTCCCTGCACCACAATTTTAAAGTTGTGTGACTCTGGGCAAATTATTTCATATTCCTGTATTTTGTTTCCTCATATATAACATTTGGATGATTTTAGTGCCTATTTTATTGGGTTATTATGAGGACAAAATGACAGAGAGAGAGAGAAAGAAAGAGAGAATTATTGGACACAGTTGCTGTCATATAATATCAAATGATGGCAAGGAAGTAGGTAGATTAACAGGAACCCTGATAGCCTTATATTTTGCTCATAAGGGCTATAAAATGATAAGCTTACTTTTTAAAACTGTTCTTCAGTTTCTTATCAAGTTTAGCTTATACTTGCCACATGATCCAGCAATTCCACTCCTAGGTATTTACCTGGGAAAAATTAAAACTGAAATACACAACTTATATCAAGACTATTCATAGCAGCTTTACTCATGACCAGAAACAACCTATATGTCCATCAAGAGGAAAATGAATCAAGAAATTCTGGGATGTTCATATAATGGAATACTATCCAGAAATATAAAGGAATAAACAATTGAAATACACAATATGGGTAAATCCTACAGACATTATTTTGATCAAAAGAATCCAGGTACTAAAGAATATATACTGCACAGTCCCATTTGTATGAATTTCAAGAATGAGCAAAATGAATTTTTAGAGACTGAACAGCAGTTACCTCTAGTGAGATAGGAAGGACTGACTTGAAAGGAAAACAAGTAGACCTTCTGGGGTGATGGGAAAGGTCTATATCCTGAATGGGGTACAGATTACACAGGAACATGTACTTGTCAAAGCTCATCAAACCATATTCTTAAGATCTGTACATTTCATTGTTTTAGAAGCTAAAAATATTTATATTAATAGCTGTATAGAATAAGCAGCTGCTTCATGTCTTTTAAGTTTTTTAAAATATAGAGACCTATATTTTTTTTAAAATATATTGCCCAGGTTGGTCTCGAACTCCTGGCCTCAAGCCATCCTCCTGCCTTAGCTTTCCAAATAGCTGGGATTATAGGTGTGAGCCACCATACTCAGCTTTTTTTTTTTAATTTAACTATTTACCTATTTAATATTTGCTGATCATTTAGTTTATGTCAAAAGTTTTTTACATATACTTTGCTACAGGTACTCTTATACATTCTTTTTTTAATTATTTAACTATTTAATATTTACTAATCATTTAGTTTATGCCAAAAGTTTTTTACATACACTTTGCTACAGGTACTCTTATATGTTCTTATAATAATTCTACGATTTAGATATTATACAGCAATACATGATACATTGCTAGGAAAGGTTAAGTAACGTAACCAAGGTCACACAACTAGTAAGTGATATTGCTGGGGTTTGGAGTCTTCTCACTTATAATACTATCCTGTCTTTCTTACTTCAGACTGAGTTTACAAGTCAATCTCATAACTAGAACAAATCGTGTTAACTGAAGTTCACGGTTATACATACTTTAAAAAACTTTTTTATGTAATTTCAGACTTGTGACCTACAGAACTGTGAGATAATAAATGGGTATTGTTTAAAGCCACTATAATCATGGTATCTTGTTACACCAGCAATAGAAAATAATACAAATGTCTTGTTCTTTTTCAAACTGAGCACTATGGAAGTATTTTCCATGAAGGATGCTATGGTAACCCCCAAATATGTAGTACTATGCAACGCCCACATTAGATGTTAAATACACCTTTTAAAAAATAAAATTAATGTTTTACTGAAGGATCCTTTGGTGACTAGGAGCAGAAAGCCATTCAAGCAACTCAAATTAAAGAGAGTTTGTTCTAAGAATACAGGAGGAAATATCATGGACAATCAAGCACAGATAGTAAGATTAATCATTCCACGAAGGAAAAAGGGATTTGATAGTATTCAAGGGAATTGACAGTCACAAGCAGGAGCACAGTGAAAATAAACATAAGAATAGATAATGTCAACAAATTAGTTAAAATTAAATGCTCCGTTTCCCCCTACACTCTGCACATTCATGGTTCATTTGATAAAGCCCTCTAAATATCTGGTTATGTAGAAGCTATTTCATTTAGAATTTTTTTTTTCTTTAATATCTGGGATAGAAACACTGGTGGGAAACAGGGAGGAGGAATACAGAGTAGTACTTTGGATGGAAGGAGAATTCATGGGTCTTTATGCTGCATTGGGTATAGTGGTGAGAGAGAAGGAGGAGCCACATGTGATTCCCAAGATTTTAGCTCCTTTATGAGCTCCAAGAGAACAAATACAAAATATTTAGTTTCCTTTTCATTATATCTACGATGTTCAGCACACAGTAGGTACTCAGTAAAAATGTTTGTTGTTCAACAATAGAAAACCACTGATTTTGTTTTTGTTTTAAGCGGGAGAATGACATGGTCAGATTTGGAAATCAGATGGCTGGTTTGACAGCAGTGTGGAGGATGAAAGAGGCTGGGAGGGTATGGCAGAAACTGAGAGCTGTCTATCAAAATCCAGTCTCCTTTTTTTCCTGAGCATGTGGCTAGACTACATCTCCCAGCATCCCCTTAAGTTAGGTGTGGCCATGTAAGCATGTTCTATCCAGTGGAACATGAGGTATACATGATGGAAGGGATGTGCACCACTTCTGCACCAGCATCTTAAGACCAGGATGAACCTTTTTCTACTTTCTCTTTCTCTTTCCACCAGCTGAAATCTGGCTATGTGACCCTGCTTCAATCATGCAAATGAGAAGAATGTCCTAGCAAATGGCAGGGGCCCAAGATTGAAGGACCTTGGATCCCTGAATGACTACACACCTACTGATCTGAAAACCTACTCTGGAGTGAGATGAGAAATGAGCTTATTGTTCTTTAAGCCACTGAATATTGGAGGTTTATTTTTTTCTATCAACATAGCCATCCTTATTAACAGGGAGTGGGAGTTAGAGAATGACACTAGAAACAGGGCTATTTGAATAACCCAGTTGAGAGATGATGAATACCTGTGATAGGATTGAGGAGGGTAGGTGGAGAAAAGATACAGAAATATTTATAAAATATACTCAACATGATTGCTTTACCTTCAAATTTCTTAAGATTCTGGTACTTCTTTAGCCCATAACTTGATTTCCTGCAAGGAGACTTTATTCCCCCAAGTTAACTAAAACTTTTCTTTGAAAATTTATTAGAGACCTAAAAACAACAAATCCAATCTGGTCGTTTCTCAGTCTTTATATTAGCTTTGTTCTCTCTACAGCATATGACACTGTTGATCACCCCACACACAACCCTTCACCCCTCTACCTACTGGTTCTAATACTTCCAACTCTTTCTCTGTCCCTTTCATGAGCTCGTTCTTGTTTCACACCCTTCTAACCATAGGTGTTCCTCAAGGTCTGGCCCTTAAATGCATTCTCTTTTCTATCTAGGCCTGATAATCTCATACACTTTCATGGCTTCAATAAGCAGAGTGTGATTGACACAGTGTGGCCCATCCTTGTGGGGAGGAACAGAACATGCCAATGAGTTTGACATGAATATATACAACCCAGGAAGTGGGTGGGGGATAGGAAGGCAAATGACCATCTCTCTCTTCCAGATGTAATGGATTACATCCAGATGTAATGGATGAATGTAACCATCTCTCTTCCATTACACAAGTAGACGATTTCCACTGATGGAAAACTTACAGAACTTTCCGTACATAAAGGGGTGGGCTATGAAGAGCAGGATTATCCAATAAATGGCCTGGGAACACTTCCTGTGTCACCTGGCTATGAATAGTTGGTTCCCTCTTCCTTAAGTGGAAGGGGCTGTGCCTGAACTCAACTTCCCATGGGACCTGGTGGCTGAGCTGCTAATGTTTCCCTGAATCTGCATGAACACGTGCTATTTAACCTCAGACTTTCAAATGCTAAAGCCTAGATTATTTTTTTATTTTTTATTTTTTTGAGACAGAGTCTCACTTTGTTGCCCAGGCTAGAGTGCCGTGGCGTCAGCCTAGCTCACATCAACCTCAAACTCCTGGGCTCAAGTGATCCTCCTGCCTCAGCCTCCCAAGTAGCTGGGACCACAGGCATGCACCACCATGTCTGGCTAATTTTTTCTATTTTTAGTAGAGACGGGTTCTCGCTCTTGCTCAGACTGGTCTCAAACTCCTGAGCTCAAGCAATCCTCCTGCTTTGGCCTCCCAGAGTGCTAGGATTACAGGTGTGAGCACCACATTGGCCAAGCCTAGATTATTTATTCCTCACCTCCAAGATTACTCTCACATCCACTCGTAAAAGCGGAGAGCACTGGTAGAGCTGGGTGCCACTGCTGGAGCACAGCACCAAGCATGCCTCTTCATAGGATGTCAAAAGAATGGACAAGCCATGCACCTGCTTGCTGCCTACTCTGCCCATGAGTTGCAGCCTGCACACGGTGACATTTGCCAGTGTTTGCCCTGGGCACCTTGACCCACATCTACAGGTACAGATAATTAATATTTTATATTTCTTTATAATTTTGCACTATGTGTCTCCGTACTCATATTTTTAATAGTTTTAGTTTTTAAGAGGTGAGTAGAAATCTTTTTCATGTTTGAGTTAGTCACATATACAAAGAACTTCACTGAGTAGGAGTATCTCACTGTAGCAGTAATTTCAATTCCAGACCACTGCTCACCTGAAATGAAGAGTTATTGAGAGATAGGTTTGCAACCAAAATATGCCACATTAATACATACTTTATATTGAGAGGTAATTCATCAAAGCTTCATAACGCTGATAAATAAAAAGTGCCCTGACCTTATTAAGAAAATAACTAATACTTGGAAAATTTCAATGTTAAATTATTCTTTCTGCCCTTTCTTTCTTCTTATTGTAGCTCTGAATTTTTGCCATGAATTTATGAGATTTTACAGTGAAGTAATTTGTTTCTCTAAAAATAAAATCAAATAGCACAACCAGACATTAAAATTACACAGGATTCTTAATGTAATATGGCTTCTAAATAGAAAATCAATTCCGAAAGTCAAGTTTTATAAATTGCTACCCAGATACATAATGTTTAAAGAAACTCTGTTGCAGGCCAGGCCGTGCTCACGCTGTAATCCTAGCACTCTGGGAGGTCAGAGCGGGCGGTTTGCTCGAGTCAGGAGTTCGAGACCAGCCTGAGCAAGACGAGACCTCGTCTACTATAAATAGAAGAAATTAATTGGCCAAATAATATTAAAAATAAAAAAACTAGCCAGGCATGTGGCCGGCATGCCTGTAGTCCCAGCTACTGGGAGGCTGAGGCAAGATCTCTGAGCCCAGGAGTTTGAGGTTGCTGTGAGCTAGCTGACGCCAGGGCACTCACTCTAGCCTGGCAACAAAGGAGACTCTGTCTCAAAAAAAAAAAAGACAAGACTCTGTAGTTTAGTAACTTCTCGTGAGATTTACTTATGTTAGGAAAACAATTCATTCAACCATACTCAAGAAGAGAATATGTAGCCCACTCCATATCTGAATTGTCAGATCCCCACCAATGAAGTATGATTATTTGAATTTATGCATCCTGTGGTCCTAGAAATCGGGCAATGTTGTATCTCTCTGCCAGACATAGAAATTAGCTTTAAGTAATGTGTGGCTTCTAAGTCATATTGTTCCAAACTGATTATTTCAAACACTTGAGAATCATTTTAAATTGTTTTTAAAATATATAAACAATATAGACTCCAGACTCCACCTGTGAGGACTCTGGTTTATTATGTCCAGATAGGGTCCAGATATTTCCATGTTTTCCAAGTGATTTTGATCCCAGCCAGAACCACTAGTTCAATCAGTCCACTAATCAAAAGTCCCTCTTCTGACCCAAGTTTAAACCATACTACTTTGTCTTGATCTTATCTCCTTAGCACCATTTTTGTGTTCTACGCTTAATTTGGGTGTCCTCAATCTGATTCCCCCAATATTAGTCTCTTCCTGATTCTTCTACAGTCATTTTATCTCAGATCTCCCAGCTTTAGTATATATTTTAGAGAGAAAATATGTTATTCTAATCTCTTAGGTTAGAGTACAGCACCATTTTTATAAAGGGTTGTATAGTAGAATTTTAGGCTTTCTGGCTATACAATGTCTTGGTTGCATATTTTTCGTCATATTAAAAATCCTTTAAAAATGCAAAAAGCTGTATCCTGACTGTGAATCTGCACATATGATAAATTACATAGAACTAAATGCACTCCATGCATATACACACACGCCAGTACATGTCAAACAGTGAGATCTGTACAAGGTCATACATAAAAAAACAAATGTTCAGCAATAGAAGTTTGGTCAACCAATATAGTAAATTCATTATAAGAAATATTCTGCAGTCATTTCAAAGTACTAGCATACATAATATTTATAAATGAAAGTGTTAAGAGATATTGTTAAGTTAACAAGAGAAGAAGGCAGTCGGCAACCTGGACAGGGTCTGCATCAGAACCCAACCATCTGCACTTAACCTCAGACTTCTAGTCCCAAAACTGTGAGAAATAATTTCTTTGTTTATAAGCACTCACTCTCGGTCTGTGGTATTTTGTTATAGGAGCCCAAATTGACTAAGATAATAGTAGTATAGTATGTCCCCATTCATTTACACTTTTATGAGTATATAGAAAATAGTCCAGACATATTCACCAAAATGTTAGACCCATTTTACAAAATTTAAAATTAGCTAGCATGGTGGTACATGCCTGTAGTCCTAGCTACAGGGAGGCTGAGGTGGGAGATCACTTGAACCAGGAATTCAAGGCTGCAGTGAGTCATGATGATGCCTTTACACTCTAGCCCAGGCGTCCTCAAACTATGGCCCACGGGCCACGTGCAGCCCACCAAGGACATTTATCCAGCCCGCCAGGTGTTTTTGCCACAGCTGCCTGTCCTGCTTAACAGCCGACTCTTCCTGGGCCCACAGTGCGCATGTGTGGAATGTGCACCACACTCTCCAAGGTCTGAGAGACAGTGAACTGGCCCCTGTTGAAAAGTTTGAGGACCCCTGCTCTAGCCTCAGTGACAGAGCCAGACCCTGTCTCTGGAAGAAAAAAAAAAAAAAAAACATGAGAGATAATACACATAAGAAAATGGCTTACAACTACCGTTCAGGAAACCTTCCCTAGCCAAACCAACTCTGCTTTGATCACTCTGTTATGTGCCTTGTCTATTTATTTCGTATGTAATTACTTTGATCTTTTGGATAAACAACTGATTTTTTTCATGTTTTTGCATAAACTTAAATTATAAGCCCCTTCTGAATAGATACTCTTTTTTGCTTTTTTTCTCTATCAATATTGGGTGTTTAATTAAATTTTGGAATTAACCAACATTTGGGGAATGCAAAGTTTTCTTTGTGAATTACTAAAGAAAATGATTAAAGGAAAACTAATGGATGTATCAACCACAGGTTGTGGATTTTTACATTCTTTAGCCTACAGCACTACTAAAGTCTGTTCAATTATTATTCAGGATCGAAGTAAACAACACAGAAGACATAATTCAAAGATAAAATCTTGGCTACATTTATTCTGCCTGTCTCACACAATCAACTACAGATGGTTCCCAGACTTAGTGATGGTTTGACTTAGGATATTTTGACTTTACAATGGTGTAAAAGCAATAGGAATTCAGTAGAAACCACGCTTTGATTTTTAAATTTTGATCTTTTCCTGGGCTAGCAATATGCAGTATGATACTCTCTCAATATGCTGAGCCAAATCATCTAACACAAAGCCTAGTTTATAATAAAGTGTTGAATATCTTGCAAAAATTGATCGTAAGAATTAGGTCTTGTTATATCCAACTAAAATAGAGTCGAGAGTCCAGGGGCAAATAAAGCACTCAGGGTGTATAACATTGCAACAGGAATATACTTTCCTGCACTTCTGGCTGCTGAAACTACCTGTTGTAACCTAAAAACAGTTTTGTCTATTAATAATAGCCACATGCTGTGACTCTGACTAGTTTTACCCACTGCTGTCACTCAGCATTCTGAGCTCCCCAGCTCCCCGAACTTTACCAGTGTCAGGGAACTTTATTTCAAAACAATATGTAACATTTCTCCTTTT